GGAGGGGAGGAGAAGCGGGATAGAGAGGGAGAAGGGTAGGAGGGGAGATTAAAAAAAACAAAAAACAGAGAAGCCATGCTGACCATAATGCAACGAAAACAGAAAAGTTCGCCTCCCTAATCAACCACCCCAATCCCGCCGACGCCAAGATCGAGATTTCCGACCCTGTGGACTGGGATCGCAACGGGCAGTATGCCGATTTGATCGATGCGGTGACGGTGGCGAGTGAGGGGAGGGATGTGAGGGTTTACCGAGTTGTTAAGGACAGTGTGCGGGTGGAGTACTGGGTTGTCAGCGTGAGTGCTGATGGGAAGTTGTTGGTTGGTGTTAGGGCTTTGGCTGTTGAAAGTTAGATGGAAGTCTTGGGGGATGAGTAATAACAGATGATGGGGGTTGAGTTTGGAGGATATGGATGGGATATGAGTAAGAAGGGGGGGATGTTATGATGACAATACCACGGTTGAATGAAGCAGTTTTCTTTTCTCTGATTTTCCAATTGTCCATTTATGCCTGCCTTTCCCTCTTGGTGATAGCTCAAGCAGTCGAAGCTGATTCTTATCGACCCCACCCTTACCTCGTCCGCGCTCATAAGGTCCTTTGAAGTTCGAACAAGGCCATAAAATACGCAGAATCTCTATTCCCACTCTCCCACCCCTTGCAGTAAAAGCCTTGTCCAGACACTCAATTTTCAATGTACTGTGTGTGTATCGGGCGCGACCCCTCCACCATTTTCTTCGGCTCAAGTTATTCCTAGCCTATGGGTTCTTCTTCCTTGTCCGTCCCCAGAGAAGTAGCTTGCAAGGTCCTCGCCGTCCAGAGTTACTTGCAGAACAGCCCCCCTCAAGTCTTGGAAGGTTTCTCCTCCTTCTTTCAGCTGGGTTAGGATGTTCATTGATGTCCGTGGTTTTAGGTGAATTTGCAACCAAGCTCAATGCCCTGTTACCCTCTCGTCCACAGTTCACGGTTCATATTTTTCCATGGTCCGTGGGCTTCCGAAGTTGTGCTCGTTTGTGTGAGTTGAGCTGAGCTGAAGAACTACCTCTGAATTTATCCCCAGCTAACATCAAGAGTTGAACTCAAGTTGGGGTCTCGTCCGTCCTTTTTCAACTTCATAGAATAGCAATCAACCAACGCTTAAATATCCAAGTCTGATGGATACAACAACACATCAGCGAAAAAAAAAAAAGGAGAAGAAAATAAGTCAACCAACTGCGCAGTCCGGGATTCGAACCCGGGTCCCTCGTTAGTCTCTACAGTCGGTTGGGTACTAGGAAACGAGAGTGCTAAACCACTCCACTAACTGCGCTTTTCTTGTGACTTGCTTGTTGAATGTGTGGCAGGGAAGATTGGATTATAAGGGGCAAGTGACGGCAGTTAGAGAGCAAGTTAGGGAAGGTGCGGCGAGGGTGAGGGTGAGGGTGAGGGTGAGGGGGAGTGTTGTTTGCTGTCCGGTGTCGGCTGATGTGGGTTGCCGATGGGGAAGGTGGGGAGGGAGGAAGAAGGCATGGCAGTTGAGGATTTACATGGAAGGAGCTCACGATTGTGAGTGACAAATCATGGACCGTATCAAACAGACAGGAGCTTCTAAGTAGTCTTTCACATAGCGAGAGAACAGCTAGGGAGCTTGTGGTTTACGAGTTGATTGCTCGTTGATGATATGTTGGGTAGTGTCTATGCACTTCGAAATGTTGTGATTTAGTTATTAGCTTTATCGTTCTTCAATGCGAGGCCATAACCAAGGATGTAAAAACCGTGATCGAGAGCAAATGACGCACCTTGAGACCAAAACAATCTAGACATAATAAAGGCTGTGGGAGGAGAAATCCTGTCAAGATAACCAGGAAACGAACCTGAGATCGGGATAGAACATGCATGGATGGTCAAATCCTACTACGTTTTGTTTCTAGAGCGTCACTATTCGTTCATCAAGCTCTTATAGTTCTTCGATATGTTCACACAACAAAAAATCATCCATATGTACGCTTTTGAAGCATGCCACCTTTTATCTCTCCATGCAATAACATTTTTTTGCGACCAGCGCGAGTACAGATCCCCTCCCCCCTCATGATATTGATACATCTCGTCCTTTCTTCACTGTCCCTTCTTTTCATCACCACCCGCCGCCCCCCTATTCCTTCCCACAAACGTCTTCATAGACGTATCAACCTGCGCCAACCTCCTCGCAATCTTCTGCAACCCCACAGGCAAAACGTTATACCAGTCAATCCACCTGGCATACAGCGGCATACCGATCTGGGTGCTCAGCCCGCCGTCGATGGCCGCAATCACCTCCTTGGCCACGTCCACCGGCTCCACCACGGGCGCGATGAAGCTGTTGGGCGTCTGCATCCCGTAGAACAGCGGTGTGCTCAGCTGACCGGGCGTGACCAGGACGGTGCGGATGTTGGGATGGGTCTGCGCCAGCTCGGCGGTCAGAGAGCGGTGCAGGGCCGAGACGCCGGCCTTGGCGGCCGCGTAGTCGGACAGCTGGGCGGGGGCGACGGTGCCGACGACGGAGGAGATGGTGACGATGGTGCCACCCGTTTCGGAAGAGGCCATGAGCGGGAGGAAGGTCTTGATGGTGTAGAAGTGGGAGAGCAGGTTGGTGGTGAGGGAGCGGTCGATTTCGTCGAGGCTGAGGTCGAGGAGGCGTTTGCCGAGAGCGATGGCGGCGTTGTTGATGAGGATCGTGGGGGTTCCGAGCTGTTGGAATTGGGTGTTAGCACCGGCATTAGAAGGGGAACTAGAAGGGGAATAATGATTTACATCTCTCTCAATATCCTTTGCGACCTTTGCAACCTGCGCCTTATCAGACACATTGCACTTGTAGTACGTCACGCCTCTCGCCTCCCCATTGTCCATCTCCTCGACATCCAACACGGCCACAGTAGCACCCCGCATGCCATACACCTCGGCAATCAACAAACCCAGCCCGCTGGCACCGCCGGTAATGACAATAACCTCATCGCTAAGGTCTACCTCGCGTGGCAAACCGTAGGCGATCCGGTTGTTGATGGTTATGAAGATCCAGCTGAGTGTGATGATGGAAGCCCATGCGATGGAAACCAGCATCGGTGGCGCGTCCCAGAACATGTTCTGAGCCCGGAAGCAGAGCGGGATGATCCAGGCTATGAAGGGGTGGAAGAAGCTCGTCTTCAGGACCTTGACGAGAAGGTCGATGGAAAGGGGCGCGAACCAGGAGTCGCGCTGGGGCGGCATTGCGTATGGCGACGACATGTTGTCTATCTGTCTTTCGGCAATTGCCGGGAGTCAATTGGGGTGTTGGTCTTGGTTCGTATGTGTCGAGGATTAATAAACTTGTTGGTTGTCAGTCAAAGTACGAGGAACAGCTTTGTGCCGTGCCGAGGTACAGCGACGTACGTGGTGATATTGCTGCTGTTGTCGCGTGGGCGCAACCGCATTTGAGGTTCGATTAAGCTTGAGATAAGGTAAAAGTTCAAGCGGGATTAAAGATCATCATGCAGATAGCTTCTTTTTGAGAACAAAGTGGAGGACAGATGGGATGACATCGCCGAGGGGCCAGCAAGGTGTTCCAATTTCTTATGTCACGCCAGCGCCCAGAGCTTTGAAACGCTAGAAACACACGGGCCCAAGCGCTGGACCCCTGGCACGTGTTTCAACTGAGCCGCTGTGACATCCCTGTAGATCGTCCCTGCTGCGACGAACCAGTGGCCCGAAACAGCGACTCCCCTCTGCGTCTGCTGAAGACATGACATGTGGGTGAACCGAATGTCGGTAGTGCAAGGTACCGGACCTCCTACTGTACATCATCACAATATCGCTTGCCAACGATCATCCTTCAGCCTTACCGCACCCCATACTAAACGTCCCTTATTATTTGCGACTGAGGAAGTTCCACTTGACAACATCAGTCCAGTCCATGACATGAACATCAGCAACGACACGGCATCATGACAGACAACCCAGAGGAGCCCTTGATCGCCAACCCCCAGTCGACCGAGGGAGACCAACATGATGGCAGCCATGATGTCGAACACGCGCATGAGTCCCGGGGTGGGAAATCACAAATATCACCGCCAGGCCTCTTCATCTGGCTACTTACCTTTTCCGCCGGAATAAGCGGTCTACTGTTCGGCTGTATGTTACCTTACACACCTACACCTTGCCTACCTTTGCCCATCTAGTGCTACCAACCTGTACCCTCCCTGTTGAACATGACACACAAGACCACGCGACTAACACAACCCTCTCTTCCCCTAACCCAGACGACACAGGCGTAATAAGCGCCACCCTTGTCTCCATCGGCACCTCCCTCTCGCACCGGCCCCTGACCTCGCTCGACAAATCCGTCATCACCTCATGCACCTCCCTCTTCGCCCTGCTCGTGCTGCCATTTGCCTCCTCGCTCGCCGACGACCGGGGCCGCAAGCGCGTCGTCCTCTTCGCCGACACCCTCTTCATCATCGGCGCCCTCTGCCAGGCCGCCAGCCGGACCGTCGAGGCGATGGTGGTGGGCCGCTCGGTCGTCGGCGTGGCCATCGGCGCCGCCAGCTTTGTGACGCCGCTGTACATTGCCGAGCTGGCGCCCGCGACACACAGAGGCCGGTTGGTGACGATGAATATCGTGTTTATCACGCTCGGGCAGGTGGTAGCGTACGTGGTGGGCTGGATTTTTGGGACGTACGGTAGTCCGGAGACGACGGGGTGGAGGTGGATGGTCGGGTTGGGCGCGGTGCCGGCGGTTTGTCAGGTGGTTATCCTGTTGTGGATGCCGGAGAGCCCGAGGTGGTTGGTGAAGGAGGGCCGGTCGGAGGAGGCGAGGGAGGTGATTGCGAGGATTGCGGCGGGGGATGATGCGCAGGATCCGTCGACGAGGAGGGAGGTGGATGCCGTGTTGAAGAATATCGAGATTGAGGTGAGGGAGGAGGCTATGGCTACGAGACTTGGTGGCACAGGGGTCGGGAATGGGAATGGGAATGCGGTGAAGGCGTGGATGGAGGCTATGCGGGAACTGTTTAGGGTGAGGAGGAACAGGCGGGCGTTGGCAATTGCTTGTCTCCTCCAGGGACTTCAGCAGTTGTGCGGATTTGTGAGTGACCCGGGCTGCGACCGTGACACTCATAAAGAGGGCTACTTGTGCTAACATTTTTTTTTTCTTTAGAACTCGCTCATGTACTTCTCGGCCACGATATTCACCATGGTCGGGTTTTCAGAGCCGACTCTGACCTCGCTGGTGGTTGCAGTCACCAACTTTTCCTTCACCCTGGTTGCCCTGGTGTTGATTGACCGGGTGGGGAGGAGACGTATTCTACTCTGGTCTCTTCCCTTTATGACGGCAGGTCTGGTGCTTGCCGGCTATGGCTTCTCATTCATCGAGCTCCCGGATTCGGAAACGAAGACGACGGGAGGCCAGGGCGGGGCTGCCATCATCTTGGCGAGCATCATGATGTACGTGGCTGGCTACGCCATCGGACTGGGCAATGTGCCGTGGATGCAGAGCGAGCTGTTCTCACTGAATGTGCGGTCGGTGGGCAGTGGTGTTGCAACAGCGACCAACTGGAGCGCTAACTTTGTGATTGGACTGACGTTCCTGCCGCTGATGGAGGCTTTGTCGCCGTCTTGGACGTTTGTCCTGTACGCAGTGATTTGCGCGGTTGGGTATGGCCTGATTTGGAGGGTATACCCTGAAACCGCAGGGCTGAGCTTGGAAGATGCGGCGACCCTTTTAGAAGCGGATGACTGGGGGGTGCGGTAAGGTGAAGCTTGACCAAGATTTGCCCCTATTTGTTTTGTTTACTTTCAATATTTCATCTTTTCTATACGCCAAAGATGTAGATTGATGACAACAGTCGAAGAAACGGTGAGGCGTTCTTCCTAGAACCCAGTCATGCCACGCTAGTCTGATGAAATCTTTGCCTTCAATTTCCCATGCACTGGGATACAGTAGCGACGATGGTGTCAGCGATAAAAGTTCTTTTGTTATTGTATGCCTCGGCTATTCACGGCAATTAGCGGATCGCTGACCGAAGTTCAAAACTTGAGCCCGGATCCTTGCCAAGAAGTGGAAACTAAGCGCCCACGCAAAACGCACATGGCAGTGGGAAAATTTTAGTGTAAAGCTTTGTTCGGGAATGGCATCATGCAGCGGATGTCTGAACCATTCAGGCCGGGTGCAAACTGCAACAGAGAAAAAAAAGACCTTTTAAGAATTTGGGATCTCCATGAGCCTCAGAGACGGAGCCACCCGACGTTGGGCTGCATGTTCCCCTTGGCACTTGGCACCCGTCGTGCCGTGGCACCTTCTGCATCTTCTCTCGTCGTTCT